CCATCCCCAGGTGCCCTGGACATGCCTAGCTTTGCCTTTGACCCTGATGAGTTAGAGGAGGAGGAGGCCATGGAGACCCAGCGCTCCCCTAAGAGTAGCGTGAGCAGTGTCACCACCCCCCCCGCCCACACCAAGCGCATCCCCTTCTTTAGGAAGGTAACGGCACCCGCCGGCCCCGTGGCTCTCGCCTGCTGCACCCTGCCTGCCCTAACACTGCGGGGGCACCCGCCGTGGGGCTGGGGGGGCCACCTGCTGCCCCCAGCACCCTGCCTGCGCCCCACGGCGTGTCCCCGCGCCGCAGCATGGGCATGAGTGTCTGCGGGGGACGGGGCGGCGGGGGTGTCCCCCGTGATCCGTGGGATGGATCAGTCCGTGGCTGCATCCCCCCCGTGGATGATGGGATGGATCAGTCCGTGGTTGCATCCCCCCATGGTCCATGGGATGGATCAGTCCGTGGCTGCATCCCCACCATGGATGATGGGATGGATTGGTCCGTGGCTGCATCCCCCCACAATTCATGGGATGGATCAGTCTGTGGCTGCATCCGCCCTGTGGTCCATGGGATGGATCAGTCCGTGGCTGCCTCCCCTTGTGATTTATGGGATGGATTGGTCTGTGGCAGCCTCCCCCTGTGGTCCATAGGGTGGATCAGTCCGTGGCTGTATCCCCTCGTGATTTATGGGATGGATTGGTCCGTGGCTGCCTCCCCCCACAATTCATGGGATGGATCAGTCTGTGGCTGCATCCCCCCCGTGGATGATGGGATGGATCAGTCTGTGGCTGCATCCCCCCGTGGATGATTGGTCCATGGCTGCATCCCTCCTGTGGTCCATGGGATGGATCAGTCCGTGGCTGCATCCCCCCCGTGGTCCATGGGATGGATGAGTCCGTGGCTGTATCCCCCCTGTGGATGATGGGATGGATCAGTCCGTGGCTGCATCCCCCCGTGGTCCATGGGATGGATCAGTCCGTGGCTGCATCCCCCCCATGATCCGTGGGATGGATCGGTCCGTTGCTGCATCCCCCCCATGGATGATGGGATGGACTGGTCCGTGGCAGCCTCCCCCTGTGGTCCATAGGGTGGATCAGTCCGTGGCTGCATCCCCCCCGTGGATGATTGGGATGGACTGGTCCGTGGCTGCATCCCCCCACAATCTATGGGATGGATTGGTCCGTGGCAGCCTCCCCCCGTGGTCCATGGGATGGATCAGTCCGTGGCTGCATCCCCCTATAGATGATGGGATGGATCAGCCCATGCCCCCCACCCCGTCCCGGGGTCCCCCCGTGTGCGCATGGTGTGTGCCAGCACGGCCGTGTCTCGCCTCCCCCCGCGGATGGAATGGACTGTTCTTACCCCCCCAAAGCTGGGCAGAAGCTGGGGGGGACTGGGGCGCAACCACAGCCCAGATCCGAGCCCCACAGACCCCCGCTTCCCCCCAAATCTAACCAAGAGCAGGGCGATGCTTCATGTGAAACACGCTCCTGGGGCAGCCCCCGGCGGGGGGGGACATGTGCACATCCCCAGGGGACACCCCCCAGGGGACACCCCCCAGGGGACACACACAACCACGGGGGTAGCCCCCGTGGGGGGTGACACACACATCCCCTGGGGCAGACCCCAGAGGGGAACCACGCTCCCTGAGGGGGACACACTCATTCCCTGGGGTACCCCCTGGGGGGGGACACACATCCCAAGGGGCAACCCCTGGGGGGGACACACGCATCGGGGGACACACATTCCAAGGGGTACCCCCTGGGGGACACACACGCATTCCCTGGGGTGACTCCCCGGGGGGACACACTTATTCCCTGGGGGGGGGACACACATCCCAAGGGGTATCCCCTGGGGGACACACACTCATTCCCTGGGGTACCCCCTGGGGGGGGAACACACATCCCAAGAGGTACCCCCTGGGGGGGGACACACTCATTCCCTGGGGTACTCCCTGGGGGACACACACACACATGCCCTGGGGGGGACACACATCCCCTGGGGTAGCCCCCCTGAGGGGGGGACCCACTCATTCCCTGGGGTACCCCCCAGTGGGAACACACTAATCCCCTGGGATACCCCCTCGGGGGGGGGACACCCATCCCAAAGGGTACCCCCCTGGGGGACA